GGCTGGGGCCGCCCCCAGCCGAGGCGGTGGTGGAAGTGGTCTTTGGAGGTTTCTGGTCCAACCTCCCCCACCACCATACCGCAGCTCGGCTAACTGAGCCCTGAACCTCCCCCGAGGACGGAGACGTCCCTCCTTGAGGACCTGTTCCCAGGGGGGAAGGGGCTCGTCCCCATGTCCAACCTGAACCCCCTGAACTGTGGCTGCCACCAAGTTTCCCATCGCCTCCCCACTTCCAGCCAAGGCTGAGATGCCCTTTGGGAAGCGGGGGCCGCAGGGAGCTGCTGAAGCATCCGACAGCACTGGGGCCAACTCAGTTTTGGCACTTTGTCCCCGGGCTCGGGATGCCCTGCACCGAGGTCCCAGCCCAGGTATTGGACCCCCAGAGCAGCGTCCCCGATGCCCGGGGCATCCCCAACTGCACCCCAGAGCTCTGCTTCTCCACTGCAAGCTCCCCTCACTGAAGATGCAACACCCTTCGCTGCTTAACTGTGCCGAAACCCCGCAAAACCGAGTCCAGGAAAGCAAAGCGGAGCAGGGAGCACGAAGCTGCTGGGGAGTCGGAGCCGGGACGGGGACACCCGCTCACGTCGGTGCTCCAGTACAGACTGGGCTGAACTGGGCAGGGCTGCTGGAGCCTCTCCCAGCTGCCGGGAACAACATTGGCTTTCCAGCTCAGGAGCTTGGTCCTGGCTTGTCCCACAGTGGGAGAGGTGCCCAGAGAAGCTCTTGCCCACTGTCAGGGACACAGATATGGCTTATACCCCTGAGGGGTGCAGGATGGGGTGGATTCAGCAGCCAACGGCTTGGTGGGGAGCAGCAGCTCGCAGGGGTCAGGGGCTTTGGTCCCTTGTTGGCCACGGGCTCGCTGTCTCCCTCCCCACTGGCATCATGGCAGTGGGATGTGGCGGTGGGGCTGGAGCTCCCCCTAGTCCCCCGGCTGCCTCGAGGCTGTGCTGGGGTGCCCACGGTGGGGCTCAGCCCTGGGGACACGCGATGGCCTTTGGGGAGGCACCTGGCACCGCTCTGGGGGGCTGCCCCCCTCACATTTGGAGACCTCTCAGCATAAACCTGCCCTGTGGAAGCATCTTGATCTATAGGTTTCAACCAAGCGTGGTGGGACACACATGCAAATCACGCAGCACTGTCCTCGCTCGGCCTCTGGGGACATGACAGCCGCCTGGCAGAGGTGGTGGCGGTCCACACTGCACTGCCGTTGCATGCACATCCCACC